AGTAGATAAATAGGTACCACCTCAGTGGGAAGGTAAAACGGCGTTCCCTAGTCGTACTGGCCACATGACAACGGAAACTGTCTTCGGACAAGCACTGGCTAAACGGCTTGAAAACGGGATGAGCACCGCCCCCTAGAGTTGGACATGACTGGACTAAAATGTCAAGGGGAACCGTTACCTTTAACTTTATGTATGTGACACACACACAGAGAGAGACTGACTGACTAACTAACTCTGTGTGGTGTGTATGTGGGTGGAAGGAAGGAAGGAAATAACTCTGTTGGGTGGGGTGTATATGAACACCCACTATTGCTTCTTTCTATCCTTGCCACCCTGGCTCTGCCCAGCATCGGCTACTATGTCTTCCACCCTACCAGCCACAGTGGACACAAGCCACCACTGTTTAAGCCTCAATCTCAATGAAAGCAAATAGTTTCTCATGCAAATTTCCACTGTATTTCCTATAAAACTCTTATTAGCACAGTCATGAAAAATTAAAAACTATATCCTGTGTCTACCTCAGCTCAGCTGCAGCTGTGTAAGCATCTGTGCCTTGTACACAACAAGATAACTGCAGGAATGGGTCACCAAGTGTGGCTGTATGTGTTTTCCCCACTGGCAATGAGCAGCCTTTTCTTAGCATTTACGTTTCTTGAGAGCTAGCTCATTATTTGAAATTGATGGGAAAAGAAAAGAAAAGGGAAAAGAAAAAAAAAACAAACTACAGAAAAGGGCTTTCATGTTGTTAGCTATTTTGTAAAAGATACCTAGTGTGGTGCAGCAAATAGAGTGACAGACTAAGAGTCAAGAGGCCTGAGTTCAAATTCCCGTTCAACCATGGAAGCTCACTGGGGATGTGGAACTGGTAAAACTAGCCCACAAATACCTCACTGACCTTGAAAGCCTTTTTAGGGTTACTGTAGGTCTGTTCTGACTTGGCAGCACATAATACCAAATACTACAAAAACTCACATACAACAGTCCTGGAGAGGGAAGAGTTAAACCAGAGAGTCTATCCTAGTTCAGGAACACCAAGGTGTGTAAACAATTCCCCACTCCTTTATCTTCCCTCTTTCTCTCTGATTCAAATTCAGCATGTTAGATCCTACAGGTTGCATCTTCTGGAAAAACACCTCAGCAGAAGGACAATAAATTAACTTCTTGGATTTACATTGAACTTATGGTACATGTGTTTTTGCCTGTGTAAGTTCTTTGTGAATTTACACAAGCAGTGCTAATCAAAAAGAACTGTACAACTTGTTTTGATCTTTCCAAATACTTAGTGAGGGCCTCTTTTGCTCTGACTACATAGTATTGGTTTTCGATAGCGACGTGGGTTAGTGGCTGTGTATGAGTGCTTCTAAATCCCTTTGCTACTTTTACCAAAAGCCTGTATTTTAATAAAGGTGCTACCAGCCATAATTGAACTCTGAAGGAACAGAAGGGGGATGTGCAATGAGCAGAAGCAGCGGAGGTTGGCTCACCTGCAGTTCACACAATTTCTGGCGACATAACTTGCCAAGGAGGCTGCCTGAGACAAGATTTCCAGTTTCCCAGATAGCTGAGTCTAATTTCTTCTCATTTAGTTTATCCTGAAATAAACAGATAGACTGGTGATAGAAAAAGTAACCATAGGTGAATATGCATGTACGTATATGTGTGTGAGTGAGAAGGACATTTGAGGAATTCCACTTTAGCTGATTTTGCTATGATCTGTTCTTCACCGACATATGAATGAATATGTAATTAGCCTTCAGATTTTGTACCTCTGAAAAATTTGTCATACAGTTCTAAAACCAAAACATGCATTTGAGAAGTACAGATTTTCAGTGATAAAAATGGAGACAAAAGAGATTCAAAAATATGTACAGTATTTAAATGTGAGTTTTCATGCATTTTTTTAAAAAAATACAGGTTAATTAATATGAAAAATACAGGTTAATTAATATAAATAATATAGGCTTGTGAATGATCATGCATGGAACAGACCAAGATTGAAAACAGACTGATTGACATCCATTCTGCTGTTCGTGAATATGACAGGGAGTGAGTAAGTGGTAGACTGTTTGACTGACAGACTTTTCCATAGCCGTTATAATGGCTCTTTAGAAAAACCAGATCCTTCAGTGGAAAGAGCTAAGTATATTTGTCCTGCAGAAGGTGAGAGTAAGAAGAGGTATTCTTATATCTCTTATTTGAAGGGCTCTCATGTGCAACCTGAAGCAGGCTTGTCCTGTTTCCCTAGAAAGCCGAAGTAGAACCAATGTGTGAAAACTGCAGGGAAACATATTTCAACTACATTTAGAAGCGTCCTAGTGGCACAAGCTGGAAACATGGCAGGCCCTTGCTCGGGGGTTGTTGGATTGTATTTAGAGACCAGGCATCTATCTGTCAGGAGTGGTGTAATTCCACCTTGCATTGCAGAGCCAGCTTTGTGGAGAGATCTGACCTCCAAGTTTTCTTCTGATTCTGAAATTCTTTGTGGTGCCTCCAGCTGGCAGGATGGGGTGCTGATGGGGAGTGGAGGCGTTGGCCTAAGAGAGCAGTCTGGCTTGCTGGTGCAGATTCGGGATTTCTTGATTGTGGCACTGAATGCTGACTTGCCTGATTCATGGCTATGGATCCTTCTTACAGCTTGAGAGTTGAGATTGAACAGCAGCACTCAGCCAGCAATGTTTTGCTGGAGCTACCCCAGGCATTCATCTGAGGGATTAGCACTAAGCTGGTGTGTGTGCATTTGTGAACAAGTCCTAGAAAATCCCTAATGTGTATTCCAGGTCTATTAAAAGCCAGACTTGTCTCTTGCATTGTTATTTCCTCAGAGCAGCATCATGTGGTTCTCCTCTTTCGACTTCACAACAGCCCTATAAGGTAGGTTGAAGCTGGATTTCCCATAGCCAAAACTTTCATTCATTCATTCATTCATTCATTCATTCATTCATTCATTCATTCATTCATTCATTCATTCATTCATTCATTCATTCATTGATAAAAAGGGATATAAGGCTGAAAGGAACACCCAAACATGACAAGAAAACAGAAGTGGCTTCTACTTACTAGCACCAAATGCAGAAGCTCCTTTGAAGGTCGAGGAGACAAAGCAGCAGCATAGAGAAACTTCTCTATCAAAGGCGCTTGCGTTTTGTTCCCAAAATCCAGAAATTCAGACAGCGCTGTCAAACAGGCTGTTGACTGGGCAGCTACTGCAGCTTCAACATAGAAGGGGCTAAAAGTGGGGTGAAGTGAGGAAGAAAAAGGATAAGTGGTATAAGCTGTTGTGATGTGCCTATGGGCCTTCAAGTCTGAACCGGCTTATAGCAACCCAGGGCCACTCCTCCAGTTCAGTTCATCCGTTTCCATGGCCAAGTGGGGATTTGAACCCAGGCCTCCTGAGTTCTAGTCCATCACTCTATCCACTACCCCACACTGGGTGTCTCATCTATACAGTACCTTCGAGGGGTGGGGGGAAAAATGAAAGCTACACAGCACTTATGATTGTGTGTGTGTATTGGTATTGCACACCAAGCCCACCTTATAGGGCTGTTGCAATTTACAGACCTGAGGGAAGCCAGTACACATCAGAGGGAAACAGTCTGAGTGGAGAGTTTTGTAATAAAAATGCTTATGTTTGATAGGTCATCATATCTAGAATGGAGAGAAAATAAACTCTAGCACAGAATGGGTATTGGACAGAGTGGTAAGCTATATGAAGCAGCTACTTTGCAATTAAAAGGTGACAAAACTTTTATTACTTCAGATATGCATTCCTTGAAGTCTATATGTCTGTGCAATCAGTCTGCAAATGAAGCCTGTTTTCTACCTCCCACAGACCCATCCTGAAAGAAAGACAAGCTAGTTTGAAACATGCACAGCTGGGGGAATCTTGTGATAGAAAATAGACATGGGCTATTCGTATTTGTATCTCCAGGGATAAAAACATGACCTGTGGTACCCCGGGTGTCGCAGGGGCCCAATTCCCTTTCCCCAGAACTGGCTGACCCACTCACTGGTGTCTGTGTGGCACTGGGAACCTTTGTTGTTGTCAGTGTGCCAATCATGGCAGAAGCCCAGCCAGTTTTCCTCACCTCCCCACGCAGCTGACCACTGATCAGCTGAGCAGGGAGACTCTGCGTCCAGCCTCCCCACCAGAGATAGGAATATGATTAGGGCATGTCTAATAGGAAAAGCTAATGTCATTTGCATCTAAGGAAATTCTGCTTCTCATTGTAAAGATAGCAAACAATTTGGTTCGGTTTTCTGATCTGTGTTTTGGGCCAGACATTTCCTTGCTGACATTCATTACAGAGAAAGATAGGAAAAGTTTGCAGTTCTGTGGGATTCCTCAGCTTGGTGGCTTCCTGATCTGTTCGACTACACATCTCACCATCCCTTTGCTAGCCAGTGGCATAGCGTGTGAGGGGCTACAGGAGTGTTTGCCCGGGTTGAATAATTCTTAGGGGTGCATGGGCTGCCCCACTTGGTGCACTCCCACAGCTGCTCCCGGTACTCCTTTTCCCCCTCCTGGCAGTCCAGGTCTGAGCCACCAGGGGCACTGAGCCTGCCACTGCCACCAGTATGGACCTTGAGCAGCTCCATGGCCACTTCATGGCACCACCCCATGGGCTTCTCCCACCCTGCCCATGTGTCACCCCCCCCACATGCCCCACATGCATTGCATCACAAAGCTGGCACATGATTTGTACCCCGCAATACTTGCTGTGGGTGCTGCCACCCTACACTACACCAGTGTTACCAGCACGGCGTCCTGAGTTAGAATCACAGCACGTACCGTGTTATGAACTGGACGTGCTTATATGGTCAAGAATATATGGGGTCTAAAAAGAGGAAAGCCATTATTATCTTTCCAGTCCATTTACTTACATCATAGATTCTGGAGCTCCTTTTAAGAGCAGAAGAATGTCCTTCTTCTTGGCATCACGCAGCATCTGGACAACTTTACAAAAATGCCATGTCGTTGATGCTCTGGAGAGATTGATTTTCAGCTTCTTTTTAGCATGTGTTTTCAAATATGTTCTGAGCTGGGAATAGCAGTGACAATATTAATACAACACCTGTCCTTCATAATACTGATTAATTTATATCAAGTTTTCCAAAACTGCAAGATATGTAAAGGAAGCTTTATGGGGTAAGATCTATCAGAATAATTCAAAATGCTTAAGATGCCTTAGCATCCCCAGCTGATAAAAAAAAATTAATTTGGTATCCTCTAAGAGACAACATTGAAAGAAGCTGGTCCCATGAAAGATAAAACCTATTTTGAGTCTTCTATATAAAAATATAACTATACCATATTATTTGCAGCTCTGAGAGCATTGTATTCTTTGTGTTAACGGTGATATAGGGAATGGAAGATCTCATTCCAAATGCTGCAGTTCCTTTGTCTTGCTTTCATCACTCCAAGCCCAAATCCCATTCTTTTCCAGAATTAATAAGAGCAATTGCCTAAAGGGGTTCTCCTTACAAGAGTCTCTGCATTGCACAGCCAGTTGTGCATCATCAGGTGATCAGTTGAGTGATAAGGAAAACTCACCATGCGACTGTGATATTATTATTTTTCTCAATTGGATTTTCACCAAGATCTTTTCACCCATTATGATAATTCTTGGGATGAATCTCTGTCCTGCTGTTTAATTTAGGATTTTGGTTAACCCAAATCAGCCTTGCCAAATCTGGAACCCCCCAGGTATGTTGGCCTATAACTCTCAGCATTTTAGGTTGGTGTAATATACGCTGGATTTTGTAGTCCAACATATCTGGATGATGAAAGAGTAAGGGAAGCTGTCCAGATCCTATACAGGAGTGTTCTTTCCACTCACTGTTGGGCATTGGGTACAGATCCTTTTGGCAGGGTCACTGGCAATATTGATGGGTTGAGGTTTTTGCAACACTGCAGCCAGGACATCCTCAAGAGTCTTCCCAGATAATTCCTTGGGGCCAGGCACTTGAGTCACGAATTCAAGATGCTGCCTGAGGAGAGAGAAGGAGGTTACTGATTTGGTTACTGAAAAAGGGGGTTACATCCTTGTCTCCAACCCATTCTTGCTTCCGAGGCAATAGGCAATACTAGTCAAGGTATGAGATGGATTGGCTCCCTAAAGTATCAGATGGATTGACTCCCTAAAGGAAGACACAGACTTGAGTCTGCAAGAGCTGAGCAGTTGACAACAGTTGACAACAGGACATACGAGCTGAGCAGGGCTGTTGACAACAGGACATACAGGAGATTGCTTATTCATAGGGTTGCCATAAGCCAGGGGTGAGTTGATGGCACATGACAACAACTAGTCAAAGCAAGAAAAATAGATGTGGAGCCAAACCCCACAAAAAACTGGCATTGACAACATGTAAAAATGTATACCTCGTTAGAGAAAGAGACAAAGATTTAATGTTATAAAGAGTAATGCAAACAGATTTGTTCCCTACTGGATCAATCATCACAGAACTGACCTAGATGCGATATTCACTCCAGTAGAAGATTTCAAGGTAAGAGAGATGATGTGGTTTTCCTCAGACAGGATAGACTTGATGAGATTTCCTTCCAAAGCATAATGGATTGTACTTGTGGGTTGCCACAGGACTCCAAAAATCTGTGGAAGAAACAAAATGTTACTCTGCTAAATTCTGGCTCTGACGATTGTGTTTCCATGTAAGAACTTCATAGTTGTGCTTGTTTCTGGACAGGTTATAAAATGGTTCTAAGTTTGTTCCCTGACTGGTGTGAATGTATCTGGATTTGGTTGAAAGACATTTCACAGTCCAGAATGGTTGACTGGTTCTTTAAAGGGCCAGTGATCAAGATGTGGTACCTATTTTTTGTCCAGGAGATGGTAGGTTAATGGCCTGGAAGGGCTAACGGATATTTTCTTGCATTATTTTTTTAAAAAGCAGTGCAAACAAGTTGCCCGTTAACCTCCTGGCGTTAACAAACAACGAACCTGGCGTTAACAAATATGGAAAGGAAAACATCATAATACAAGGCAGGAAACCTTGGTTTACAGCTTACTTGTGGTTTTAGCTTGCCTAAGTGCCCTAAGTCATAATTTCAGCTTCAAACATCAAAATATGCTATTCTTTCCACTCTAGTTTTACTCTGTTATGTGAGGTGAGGAATTAGCAGGAGCAACCGTAGTTGATTAATCTTGGATTTTTAGCAAGTGCTTTCAGAGTGGAGACATAGATTTTAAGGTGTGTGTGCATGTTTTAATTGACAAGATGAAAAACAAGACTTGCTTTGTTAACAGCGCTGAATCCAAATTTTGGTCTCACGCAGCTGTGTAGGTCTTTTGTCTTCAGAGCAGAATTCTTAGATACTGTATATGTAACTTGACAGCTTCCAGAAATGTCCTCCTAAGAAACACAAATGGGTAAATTATGAGTCGAACAATAGGTGCAGCATTAACCCTGTATAGCTTTCTACCTCAGGCATTCCAACTATACTATATCAAGGCATAAATCTGGGTGTGTACGCTGCAGTTCCAAAATGAGATTCTAGTGGGCTGAATTTATTTTACAATCCCAAGTTCTTCCAAATGTTTCCCAATTTTAACTATTCTTATGTGAAGTACAGAAGTCCTGTATATTGATTTGAGGAAATGTGAGTGTCAGCTCTTCTGAGTGCAGAAGAATTTCACTCATCCTGCCATTTCAACTGGAGATCCTTTCCTGCCTCCCCAACTTTGACCACGGGTTTTAAAATACTTCCTTCACAATTTTAAGAGAATGAAAATGGAGGATATATCTGATCAGAGCCTGCCAATTAAAATAAATCCCATTGTATGCAAGTAAATCACACTAGAGTAGACCCATTGAATCAATAAAGGTTTAGTGAGTCAGCTCCACCACTTGCACTAGAGTAGACCCATTGAATCAATAAGGGTTTAGTGAGTCAGCTCCACCATAAGTTCAATTGATTCAAATGGGCCTACTCTGATGGTGACTTATGCTAAAGTAACTCATTCATCCTGCCATTTCAACTGGAGATCCTTTCCTGCCTCCCCAACTTTGACCACGGGTTTTAAAATACTTCCTTCACAATTTTAAGAGAATGAAAATGGAGGATATATCTGATCAGAGCCTGCCAATTAAAATAAATCCCATTGTATGCAAGTAAATCACACTAGAGTAGACCCATTGAATCAATAAAGGTTTAGTGAGTCAGCTCCACCACAAATTCAATTGATTCAAATGGGCCTACTCTGACGGTAACTTATGCTGAAGTAAGTCACAGCTAGAGTAGGCCCATTTGAAACCATCAAACCTATGAAGGAGTCAGACTCACCAAATCCCTATTGATTCTAGTATGATTTACTATATTGAACAACAGGATTTTAGCTATTGAAATAAAAAAAGTAATAGTTTTAATTGTCATATTTTATGTGCAATATGTAAAATAATTTTAAGAAAAGATGAAAAGCACTGGGTTTATAACTATACCTTTCTAAGGATACCAAGGTTCCAGGTGCTATAACGTTTCCTACCAAAATTAACGAAGCTCTGCATGGTATCCTAGCAATATAGTAGTAAATTCTGAAGTACAGGGAATCATTTGGACAATCTTGTAATCAGACCAAATGGAAGCTTTGAAAATGAAAGAAGGGGTGTTGGTGTGGATCAGCTCACCAATTCTAGCAGGTTTGATCGCCATTGATAGCAGGTCTTTTGTAAAACTAATAGGTTTTAATTATCTATTCAAAATTCTTTGCATTTCAACAAGCATAGCCATTAATTGTATAATTGAAAACAAGTTAAAAATAAAAAGTCCAAACAACAGACAGAAGATGAAGTAGACTTCTCTATGAAAGATTACCATACATTAAAAAGTATAAAAGTTAGTTTTTAAGGTACCACCACATGTCCCCCCCCTTTCCTTTTGTTTTCACCTATAATACTTGCACAGAATAATGGCTACCCGTTCTACATCTATAATTATATACTTGTGCTGGATATAACAGTTTTTATTCTGTCCAATCAAGAAGTCCCTCTGCTTCAGCCCTGTAAGCTCTCTGGGCCTTGGCTCTACCATGGCATTGATTGTACCTCAGTCACTGTCCCGGAGTGTGCCTGAAGCTGGAAGAGGCTGATAAGGCCTCGCTTCAACTCCAAAGTTAAGGCGTTTCCTGTTTTTTCTCCATAGATGCCTTCAATCTGCAAGGAAAAGCAAATTTTTAAGGAAGAGAATGTTCATGGAGTTGAGGAAAGAGTTAACAAGGGACACAAGAAAAAGGTACATTACATATGTAAAGCTTATGTCTCTGTAAGTTATGTGAGCTTCCTTTTCCTTAGTTTTGGGTTTTAAGTGTTTGAAACTAAGCATCAAACTAAATGATACAGTTAGTTCTTCATTAGAAATGGAAGTGGAAGTATGAGCTTGCTTCATTTTACATACTGCATATTAGTTTGCATTTGTTCTACACTTGGTCAGTGGGACTGGTGGCTGAGTCATGGAGTTTTGAAGGAATTGGGTACCTGATGGGAAGCATTCTAATAGGAGGAAACATGCATTTCATTTTGCCTCTTGCAAAAAGAAATGAATGAATGAATGAATCAACCAATCAATCAATCAATCAAACTCTCTCTCTCTCTCTCTCTATCTATCTGTATACTTATTTGTATACTTATTTGTATATTTATTTGTATATTTATTTATTTACCACCCTTGTGGATATCATGAGTGCTTAACCAATGCCTTGTTGCAGTGCACATGCCTTTATAATGGTAAGGAAAAGCTTTAGGAAAAACAAGAAGTCTTATTCATGCTGCTGAACAGACTTCTTATCTGTGTCAACCTTCCACAATTGGCTGCCTTCCAGTTGTGTCAGACCACAACTCCCAGCCACCATGGCTACCAGGAAGGATGAGAAGTCATGCTTAGAAGCAGCAGCAGTACAGTGGGAGTGGTAACCAAGAACATCTGAAAGGCACCAAGTGGGATGAAGCTGTATTGTATTTTATATGTGTAATAAGGATTGAAAACACTGGTGTCCTTGAAAATAATTTATCTGATGTATAGCATTAAAGGAGATTGTTAGATGGTTGTTGTATTGTACAGGAGAGAAAAGTGCAGTCATCACTCTGATATTTGTCCTCCTGAGCTTTCACTGACTAGATGATACAGATGACTGGTGCTGTACTAGCAGTATAGGAGGAAAAGAAGAGACACGTGGAGCAGACCAAGGAACTCTTTTGGCCACTAGTCTCTACTCACGTTGAACACTGTGTTTACAGCCAGATGCCAAGCAGAGGCCCATAAGCAGCTGTTTCCTCCTGTATTAAGGGCCAACCATTGATACTTATGGTGGATGCTTACATGTCAAAAAAAGAGAGAAAACACCTAATTTAAAAATGGGGATGAAAGAGGATAAACGTTGGGGGAGGGCCAACTTTCAGGTCTCTGTTGTCCCTCCTTATGGCTTTTTATCTTTAAATGTGACTTGGATGGAGGGAACCTCGAAAATAAGGTTTGTTCTCTGGCAACTCTTCAAACAGAGAACTGTCATCTCTGACAGAGGACATAATATGGCCACCCTACCACTACAGGTTCTGGATGGAGTTCCATCTTCCTTTGTGCACTGGCAATGACCATAAGAAATTGTAGTGTTCAAACATACTTGTGCACAGGGAGGCTGAAAACCTTGCATGAATCTGAAGCTGGATGGAAAAGAACTCTATAAGCATGCGTGAGAAAATCTTAACATACCTTCCCTTTATTCCAGTGAAGGAAAATCGGCTGCTCCACGTCTCTGGCACTCAGTGACAGTTTTACAGATTGATTCTCATCAATGTTTTGACTCTTCTTTTCTTCCATATCACTATGGCCTTGTAGGTCATGGATCTAACATTCCCAAAACAGGCAAAGGAAAACAGGGAGGTTTCAATCCTATTCAGATTATAGCTGCTTAAAGTCAACATTGTTCAAGAATCGGTCTGAAGGAGACAATAATATATCCATTTTCATTATATTTAACTATACACATGAGGAAATTTACTTCTTTGGACTAACATTCAAAGAATAGAGGGAACTATACACATGAGGAAATTTACTTCTTTGGACTAACATTCAAAGAATAGGGGGATTCTGGGAATTATAGTCCAAAAAAGTAACTTTCCCCAACCTTGACAGAGCTAAATTTGGGTCCATTGCGTCTTATGGAGTAGAAGGCATGGTAACTAATGGGATGGGGGCATGACATCAAGAAACAGGACTCTCTCTCTCTCTCTTTCTCTCTCTCTCTCTCTCTCTCTCTCACACACACACACACACACACACACACACACACAGAGAGAGAGAGAGAGAGAGAGAGAGAGAGAGAGAGAGAGAGAGAGAGAGAGGCAGGGAGGAAGAAAGAGATTCAGTCTCATACTCTTTATTTGTTCTATAACTCTGCTGAAGAACAAGATGGTGCTGCCTTGCCCATTCCATGTAGAGAAGTCAGCTTGGACTGGCAGTTGAATCTTACATTGACACTGGTGGCAGGCTAGCATCTGCATTTGCATCTAATTTAGAGGGTACAAGCAATGGGTGAGATACACAGTTCCATCATCCAATAGATGGAAGCAGCCAGAGGCTCAAGAGGAACAGCCAAGGCTTGCCATTATTGCTCCTCAGCATCTGCTGTCCAAGTCAACTGTTTTGCTTTACCTAATAAGGCTGGCCATAGAGTGACTATCCCAGGTGGGTCTCCTGAAAATAACAGAGCAAAGACAAAAGGTCGGCTGAACCACTGATATACCTATAGAAGCTGTGGGATAATGAGATGTATGATTTGATTAAAGTAACCCACAGTGTCTGTCATTGTGAGGATACCATTTTCTTCCCCAAGAGCTTAAAACCTGGACAGGCCCAAAGCACCACTGACTTGGATTTGAAGAAACTGCTGTGTTGGCTCGGTGGGATTCCTCCACAAGAGGTGCACATCAACCGATGCTTCGGCCTTGAACTTGCTTCCTCCCAAAGGCAACCTTGACAAATAATTTATATGGCCATCCAGTGTGTACCGGTACTGATATAGGATTCCTGACTGGAAAGAAGGAGTTTCCAGGGTTTCTGTAAAAGAATTCTATGTTGACATCATTTGAAAAGATTTCAATAAGCTACTGATTTACAGCAGCTATGCCACATGAAAAACATGAGGTAAGTTTGTAGGGCGCACAGGATACCAGGAGCCTCATCCCCAGGCTGTGGTAACACTTTCCCCACACATCTGACACTTACAGTTCTGATGTTAATTTCAAAAGGAGTAAGAAGACATTTACATGTTTTGAAAATTCTTATCAAAAACTGACAGAAACAAAACCCCGGGCCAGAATGCGATGTTCCAATACGTTGGGTTATTAAACAGGTCTGTTGCTTTGTGTAACAAGACCGGTTTGAATGCTCCTAGCAATCTAATAGTTAAAATTTATAACCCCTCCAAATTAGGGATTCAGGTTTATAATTCTGCCAAAAGTCCACATTTTGATCCGAACATGGTTAAGCAATTAAAAAAAACTGATTTGCACCAATCATTTTGTGACTACGAAAATTAAGTGATGTTTAATTTGTTTCCCTACTATTTAATGTTGCATTTCTTATGATCACAGAGTTGTTTACAGAGAAATCCATCAGAGACCAAGTTCTAAACCCCATAATCTGAAACAAGAGGCACTAAAGAGCTGCTTCCAGAGGTTCATTTGTCATCCGTTGCCATGCCAATATAGCGTACATAAAAGGGACCAGGAATGTGAGCTTTCTTAGCCCATCCCTCCTTGGGTTCTGCTCGCTAAGCACAGCTCTTAAGAGTCCTGGAATGTCAAATAAACCCCTTGGATTTGAGGATTTCATGCAAAAGTTACATTACAAACAGATCAGTCAGCCCCATGCAGTTTCGTCCTCTGTGGATCTCTTACCTTTTGCTGCAATAGGAAAGAGAAAGAAAAGCAGCCAACAGCAGCTTGAAGCGGCCTGAGACTTCATGGTGTGACTTGGGTGGGCAAAATCGAAATGCATGGAGGGATGGACAATCCAGCCGGGAGGGTGCAAAGAAACTAAACAAAGCCCCTTGTGCAGAGAGATTCACAGGATCATGTGGGCAGCCCTGACTTGCTTCCTATCCCCAGGTTACACATCACAGGGAAAGCAAATGATTAATCAGCAGGAGAGAGAGGGAGAAAGAGTATTCAAAAGGCTGGAATGTCTACCTGACATTTCCTAAAGCCCTGAGGACAGAATAATGTTGTTCCAGATAATATTTTGAAGCTGATCTTGGGAGTTTGCTGGCGTGTGTAAATTTCATGCCTCCTGCTCCTCCCTCCTTCTCCTCTCTTTTAGCAGTTTTCACTTAAAGGCTCAGTGTTTTCAGCCTTCTGAGGATCAGGTTACTTGAAGAGGCAGCTGGAGAAAAGGAAAAAAACAGGGCCTTGTGAAGGAGCTTCCTCCTGAGCGAGGAAGGGCAGAGAAAATGTATTTGTTTATTTATTTATTTACTATTCCATTTATATCCCGCCTATCTGGTCAATTACGACCACTCTAGGCGGTGTTTCACTTTGTGCCCTCTTAGGCTCCTGTGCCCATGGACTGAATAGCTTAAGGAGGAAACCATTCCGGGCAACAGGCTGTGAGGTTTGGGGGACAAATGTGAAATCTTTCCACACGTTGGTTGATACAGACGGAAACAGGCAGTGCTTTTAATCTCATGAATCCGGAAGGTCTTAACTGGTCACTAATTGACAATAGAAAGCCTAGGTGTTTTCCGAATACAGAAGGAAAAATAATCCCCTTCTGTGATGAGCAGGATGCCCTGGGGAAGTTTCTTATCAGCCTTATTGTGTGTCTTCACATTTTCTTTGCAATGTGTTAGATAATTTGGAAAATATGTGCCTGGGGGACTTTTTATTCACTTTGCTTTAAAAAAAATACACACAGGATGTCTTTAAATTTATATAGGGGCTCAAAGTGGAGGATAATAGCATACTTCAATATACTTTCATCCATATCATCTTTACCTTTTCACTGCTGCTGGATATAATGAGTGGGGTAAAAAAAAGTGATACCTATATGTTGTGTGGAATTAGCTGGCATCTGACAGGTACTGTAATCTGTTTTCATGACAGCTCAGTTCACGGCTCTCTGGAACAAGGGTAGGCATCACATGGACTGCAGTTGGCCTTCACACATTTTGTGGCATCAGGACTGACCCCAAATAGCCACACAATGGGGAAACAGTGATTAAAATAAGGAGAATTGTTGGCCCGAGAAGCCTCCAAATAATGATCAACTTCTGAAGCAAGGCTCAAGACCTTAATTTATTAAATGGATATTTTGGGTTTCCCCCCAAAAACAAATTACATCTGAATTTCACTTCTGATTTTTTTTTTAAAGGGGAAAATACCCCTCTATTCATTGCAAGGCTGCAGCCCACAGCAGAGTGGAATAAAAAAAATGCATGCACCCTCTCTAAACTGCCAGGATGCATGTGAGCTCCAGAATTAAGTCTTCACTTTACAAGACCACTTTATTCATGCAGTCTCATACTTTGATGACTCCCTGTCATGGACAGAAGGAATAGTATATCTCTATTGAGAATTATTGCCTTGGAGGAAGTTACTGTCAAGAAGAATGACCACAAAGATATGCTGCAGCCATCTACAGGTGAGTACTGGGAGGATGATGCTCTGGGACTAGATGAGGCATAGAGATGGGAATTCTCATTAGAGGGCAATGGAATTCTCTGTCTCTCCCTGTTTTTTTCCTGGCCATGAATATGCTGGCTGAGAACTGTGGAAAACTCATCTTTCTGAGAACTTCTCCCACAAAATTCTGTTTCCACCTTTCTCAAATTCATGTACTGTACTTGCTGTGTGTGCCAGAAATTTAGTATATAAATACACTGCAGAACATAGAGCTTGTTGCACTTCATTCCAAAGGAAATGATTTCGGGCTTCAACGGCTCCAACTTGGTTCCCTCTGATAAAAGTGAATAGGTAATAAAATGTATTTAAAGTGATAGGAGAAAAATGTGTGGCAATCAGTTGATTACAATTCTCCTAGGCTAAACCCTCCTCCTATTGGGTCATATCATTAATCCTGGTCTGTAGCGGCTAATGTGAATGGTGTGATTCCCCATAACTAGACCATGTGGGGTGGAAGCATATGAATGTCACAGAGCTTGACTGCTCTTGCCATGCGGGATTCCCCCCCCCCCCCCCCCCCGCCAGGAGGCCAAATCTTCCTCCAACACAAAATGAAGAGAGCTCATTCCTGAACAAAGGGTCAGGTTGTGTGCGTTGAGAGAACTTGAAAGAAATATCCACAAATCTTGAGAACTGAGAATCTTTTCATTTGGCCCATCCTTAATGGAGCATTAGCTGCTCAGACTCTGCTATGAATAAAATACTCTGAAGGGATCACTGACACGAAGGCCTTTGGAGATGGGAGCAGTTTTAAATAAGGAATATTTTATCACAGTGCAACATGCTATGATGCCTTTAGAACTAAAAAGAGCAAAGATGTGTTATTGCTGTTAACAAGTACAGTATATGCATAAGAAAAGCCATGTAAACACACAAAGAAAATCTTGGTTTTAGTCTGCTTTTTGATATTTATTTCATATTTTGATATAATTCCAACTTTTCTTCAGAGTACCAGTGTGGTGTGTGCATGGTCCTCCCTTCATGTTCTCCTTGTAACAACCCTGTGGTGATAAGTTTGGACTGAGAGGTAGAGGTTGGCCTTCTACAGCCCAGGAAGCTTCAGGGTTCACTGAGTGGGAATTTGTGCTTTGGTCCTCTCAGTCTCTGTCCAAAATTTTAACTACTCTGTGTGCTATTCTTCTTCCTATTCTCTACCGCAGATTGCCTTATTTAATTCTGCTAGCTACCTGCTACATACCAAACACACATGGATCTAACTGAGATCCAGGGCTTGGTAAAGTTACAATTTAGACTTCACTTGGGATTCTGGAACTTCTAGTCTAAAAAGCAACACAGGCTTAGACCCTGTGGCTTCAACTACATACATCCAGATCCGTTTATTTCTCTTAGAGGCCTATCAGTCCACCAAAATGACGGGAACATAATCATACTGTAATCTGATCCTCAGATCCCCACCTAAAAGACTACATACTGAAAAGACTAAGAACCTACCGTTAAAGGTGTAGTAAAATGCTTCAGACATTTATTCTCCAAGCGAGATAGCTCAGAGGTGTGTAGGTCTTTGGCTGTGGAGAAAAATGTCTGGAGTTCAGTTCCCCACTGTGCCTCCTTGACAGGAGCTGGATGCAATGATCCATTGGATCCCTTCCAGCTCTGCAGTTCTAGGATGATGGTGATGATGATGATTAGATCTGAATCATCCCCTGATGGGGACTATGTCATCAAAATTACTTCTACTATACCTCATGTACAAGACATTTTTGTTGTCTTTCATGCAAAGCTCCATAGTATAACTGTTCTTAACAATCTCAAAATGTCTATAGATAAGTTTTCTAACAATCACTTTGCTTCAGTTTTAGTGGGGAAGCCATACAATACCAGCTTCTACTTTTCCCATCCTCCCAGATGGAATAGCTATACAATACCTTTAGGGATAGATGAGAATTTCATTTCAATCTGTTTTTAATTAAAATTTAGCAACATTCACAAATGTTGTCATGTTAAGAGTGAAAAGAACTTGGGATTTAAACATAGTGAATATGGAAGAATCAAAACTAGCTGATATGTCCACTCTAACCAGAAGATTGGGAGTGCTGAACTCATAATGATCTGGGGTTTGGTCTCCATATTCAGTCATGTTAATATTAAATTACAGCTTCCTTTTTCTGAGACAGTCCTCAGTATTAATAACAAAGTTGCAGATGCGTACAGCATGGTTGTCTCAATGTTTAAAATTGCAGGATCTATTGAATTTGGCCATTGTGGCTGGGAGAGAATTTCGTTGCTGTTCATTGAAGAATCCAGCAATATTCATAAATCATGTATTCAGGATCCTGAAGTTAAATACATTCAAATATGGGAGAAAGCAAGACAGACAGGGTGTCTTGTCCTTACTTTTGATAGTGCAAGGAGCTATCTGTCCGGAAGCATCCTGTTAATTGTACAGAGACTCATTAAAGCCTATCTTGAAATATTATTCATTTGAATATTATCATTCCTTTGACACCAGATGTTGACTCTGAGAGATTGAAATCTAGTTCCTAAGGCCACCCTTTTTTTACTACCAGTGTTGCCACTGGGTTAGTACCAGGAGGTGCAGCTGGAACATCAAGCACTGTAACATCTGGAAGAACATCTTTCTAATTGGTCCGATCTGATTGATTTTGCTTTTCATTTGAGTGGAGCTGAAGAACTTCTGCAGTGCCGATGTGCACTGAAAATAGAAAACACATTTGCAATTAGTATGTGCATTTATTTCAGGGGTCAACAACTTGTGCTCATGTGGATGTTGTTGGATTGTTAGCTCCCAGCAGCCCAAATTGGCATGGCCAATAGTTCATTTATCACCCTAAATACAACAGGGAATCACATCAGAGGCCACTTGTCTACTTTAGGGAATTGAGAGGCATTGTCTGGTTGGTAATAGCTTGGTTGCACCTCCATATATACTGTACTGTACAGCACATATATTCCCTTTCTCATGATGCTTTGATACCTAAGGGACATTATCTATTTTGTAACCTTCCACCTTAGGCATCAATATATTTTGATTTGGCTTTGCTTTCAGTATACAGTATCTACTTGTCTACTTTAGGGAATTGAGAGGCATTGTCTGGTTGGTAATAGCTTGGTTGCACCTCCATATATACTGTACTGTACAGCACATATATTCCCTTTCTCATGATGCTTTGATACCTAAGGGACATTATCTATTTTGTAACCTTCCACCTTAGGCATCAATATATTTTGATTTGGCTTTGCTTTCAGTATACAGTATCTACTTTTGACTACAGTCAACCCTTGACTTACAAACTTAATCCATTCCAGAAGGACATTCGTAAGTTGAGAGTTGACTGTATATGTTTGATTTCACTATATCCAACATGAGTGCAAGTCTGTTTTTCATACATATATGTGTGTCTCTATGCATGTGTCTATGCCCATCTAAACATTAATTGTTAAATTGCTGTCTTTAAACGGTGACCACAAACCAAGCAGAAGTAGATGATGCTGGTTACCCCTCCCTGCTGAATACTAGAGCTGTATTATGCCCTCTGAAAGCTGAAACACACAGTTATTAGGAATATACAGCGTTTTTCAGAGGACAAGTACAGTAATTGGCAGAAAAGTTTGGTAGCATTATTCAAGCACAAATCAGCATGGATGAAGTTTTAGTTCCTTTAAGAATGCATTGGCTAGGAGACACAAATGTCACCACCTGCAAGCAGAGCTGCTTGTACCATTAGAACAGGGGTCAGGGAACTTTTTTACCTTTTACACCCCCCCCCCCAAATTTATATACACCAACATTACCCCTTAATTTGAAAGGAAGGTTCTTGGTCACGTGTCTCTTGGTCACACACGGCCAGTCGAGTGCCAGGGCACTCCGTCCACTTGCCGTGGCCTCGCCCTCCGCCATAGCCGGCCCCATGGCTCGGTTGCAGCCAGGCTGGAGAAGGGGGGAAGGGGGTGATTGGGCAGCCAGGGACCCCCCCTCCGGGCAGAAGAGGAAGAATTGGAGGAGGAGGAGGGAAGGGAGTTAGGGTCGCGTCCTCATTACCCCCATGATTTTCATTTTTATCCCATTTGGGGTAATTTACCCCTGTTCCCTGACCACGGCATTAGAAGGACTGAGGCAGCTGTGTCATGTGCCAGATGATGAAAAGGGAGTGCTATTTGTTACTACAACAATTCCTGTTTCTCAGGTTGGCTGTTCAATTGCCCTATCAGTCAGCTTGCTGCCTTTAGGTGTGGTTAAAGACACTGTTAAGTTGCCAACCAGTCTGGTAAACTTTAGTAGAAGGAGTTGGGGTGGTGCTGATGCTGTTCCCATCTTGCCTTACATAGCCAAATGTTTTGGATGGGCCCTGCCTGAGGGGTCTACCACTTCTTCTGTCTCTTCTTGGGGAGCCATCGGGCTTTCTTCAATACTCTTATCTATTGTGGTTCATGACTAGTTCCAGTTCTACTGGCAAGCAGAAAATGCAGGGGAGAGATCCAGTGTGAGTCTGCTAGATCCACAGATCCCAGATTGTCTGCTGCTGGATTCACAGATCCTAGATTAATTAGACACAGAATAATAATAAAGTACCACATCCCCATTGAGAAAAGCAGTTATTTTTAAATGGGCAGAATCTTGTTTGCTGACTTGAGCTTGCATAAGGGAAATCGCACAAGACTTGGTAGCAAATTGGCATTTATTAATGAAGTGCTGGCTGTGTGCCTGGTTGTGCAATTAGCTATGTGTCTGATTATGTGATTGGGAAGGTACCGAGGGATACAACCAACACCTATGAGCAAGTGGCAATTTGGCACCAAGCCTAACAGAATTTTCTGGATGTAAGCATGGATCAGCAACAGTACATCTCATCTACAATATGTCGAATTGGAGTTTATCAGGTGTTTGGGGAAAAATCAAGTGACCACACTGACTCACTCCTCTCCAGTCGGAAGCTATGTGGTTAATTTCCTTTCCAAACTGGTAATTATGAAAGATTAAGTCAATCACTATGTGGACATACATTGTTGTTCCTGACCAGGAAGAGTGCCAAGACAGAAGAAAGCAAATAGAAACTTGTTCATGTCAAAGATCACTTGAATAATCCTGAAGCGGCAGGACGTATCTTTTTTTACTTTGGGTGCACTAAAAGCTTGTCTTCATGCAAACGTCTGGTTATGAGATTTTCTTTTCTGGAAATCTAGAATATGCTCCCATTACTAATTTTGTAATTAGAAATCCCACTGATGTGTGTGGAGTAACTGTAGCTCTAAATAACCAGGGCTTTATTGCAGCTCTGTCCTCTTCAACTGGGCAGCCTCACAAATCCAGCAACTGGAGAAATCCCAGGTTTTGTGCAATGTTTTAATCTGGGACTGGCTGCAAAAGTAGCATTTCAGTGTGCATGGGAAAAGCCTAGAGGCATGGCTGGCCCATGATGTTTTCCTGCCTGAGGCAACCAGGGGGTGCTCCCTCCTGTTCCGGGCACAGAAATCCCAGAGCGGACTAGCAAATGAATCTTTCTTACTGGCTGAGAATGGTGCACCACCTTCTGCAACACCTGAAGGCAACAGGCTAGGTTAGGGGGTGCAGAGCAGGGTGAGGGGTGCACAGTTTTCTCCCACACCTAGCTTTTAGCCCTTAGCAGCTGAAGTGAATGCCTCTGAGGCTGGCCCAAGGGGTTTTGCTGCCTCAGGCAGAGCAGCCTATACAGCCTTTTACCTTACCCAAACTGAGCTAACTTATTCTGACAATGGGGGCAAAACACAAACACAAAATGAAAAGACAAATGAACCTCAATTGCTTTTTCCCATTGTTGTCAGTAAAAATATGACTTTTTTTTTTAGAGAAACAGGGCATGTGGATTAGAAAGAAATTAACAAATAAACTAAAGTTTAAAACCAATAAAAATAGATATATTGTGAGGGTGGAGGGGTTTTCTGGATATAAGATATTGTCCCTTTTGTGTTTTTAATTGTTTGGAATACAATGGTGCCTTGCATAGCAACGATAATCGGTGTAGCAAAAATCGCTGCAAAGCGATTTCGTCGCTATGCGATATTAAAAAGACCATAGGAATGCATTGAAACCCCTTCAATGCATTCCTATGGGCTTCAGACTCACCTTTAAGCGAAAATCCTCCATACGGCGGCCATTTTCGCTGCCCGGTAAGCGAGGAATCCGTCCCAGAAAACAGCGGACAGCCATTTTTTTAACCTGCCGCCCATTTTGGAACTGCCAATCAGCTGTTAAAAAATCATCACTTTGCGATGATCGGTAAATGAAACAGGGTACCGATCATCGCAAAGCGATTTTTCCCCATAGGGAACATCGCAAAGCGATCGCAAAAGCGATCACAAAAAGTTAATTGCTATGCGATTTCGTCGTTAAACGGGGCGCCCGTTAAGCGAGGCACCACTGTATATATATTCGGAATATATATATATATACACATCCCCAATTATTGTACTAATTTGTAATGTATAATTTATAAAAAGACAATGGCAATAAAACCCCTACAACAACACAGTAAATAGATGGCAATTCACCACTCTTTTATAACACACCAAACCTGGTGCCCAAGGCAGTTGCCTTATTCTGTCTAATGGTAGGACCAGCCCTGCCTACCATTACAAGGCTGGCATGCTAATGCCTGAGTGTTCTATTTGCAGTTGATATGATTGGGCCATACACAGAAAATAGGGATAGACAACATTTTTTTTCAGTTGGGTCAAAGGTCAGGCACTGAGTGTAGAACATGTCTGCTTTTAAAACCAAAATTTTGGAAGACTTACCATTTGGACTACACTTTCCAGAATACTCTAACAGGCATGGTTAATAGGTAGGTTCTCTAGGCAATGCAAAGGACTGTAATTCCAAAATATAATTTTTCCAAGCTCTGATTATAGTAGGTAATATGTTTCTATCTTAGGGTGGTTTATGAAGCTAAAGAAAAGGCAGCAGCATAGCAGGGAAGAGGCAGGACGGATGAAGTTATGCTCTGGCCAGGACCAAGTCCAGGCACGCCATGTGTTCCCTCCACCTGCACTGTTTTTTGAGGCATGGCACAACCTGACTGCCTTTGATCTGATCTCAGATCAGCAAGTATCTTCACCCCAAGCACAAATATCGCTGAATGCCCTGGTTGCAGTGGAACGTCCTCTCAGCTGTTTCTGTCCATTGAAAACTATGTTCTTATATGAAGTTCTAAGACAGTTTGATCAGAGCTCACAGGATCTACTTGTCTATATTTTGGATGCTGAGTTCTATAATGTGGCATTGCTGGTTTAGATCCCTGGCCAGCTTGCATGACAAGGGCCCCAAATGAAACCTTTTCAGAAATGTATTTCCTACTGAAGATGGTGAAATACCATGAATCAAATGATCAGATTATTTCTGCAGACGGCTGCAGGAAAGGCAGTGGCTTCTAATTATGAAAGTTAGCCTCCAGAGTCAAAAGGAAGCAATGCCTCCAAATTACCAGCTGCTTGGGAACATGGTCAGGATGCTGCTGCTGCAATAGTTATGCTTATAGGATTCCTGAGCACCTGGGTGGTCACAGAGTAAAGAGAATGCTAGACTTCAATCTGATCCACAAGGACTCATCTTAAGGCCTTAATGGCATCACAACACACACACACACACACCCTTTTAAAACCCATTTACAGGATAGTACTTTCAACAGTATTTTTACCTGGCTTCTCTTCTTCTTGGATAGCTTCCTGTTTCTGATTTATTACAGATACTCTGTGATAGGGAAACACACACAAACACAAACACACACAATGTCAACACTTGAAAAAAAAAAAAGATGCACCAGCAAAGGTCTACGTTTGGAGCAACAGAAAGGTCAGGAGAATACAGAACTGGCTGTTTTGCCATCATTTGCTATTCTGCCCTTGAGCGGCCATGTACCATTCTTTATCATTAACATCACATGGGGGGCGGTGGCGGTGAATGTGTGGGTTCCAGATTTGGTGAACTGCAGCTCCCATCAACTCTGCCCAGCTCAGTCAATGCTGAAGGATGATTGGAGCTGCAGTCAAAGAACATCTGGAGAGTCACTTCTTCTTCTCCATCTGTGATGTAGCCCTTTAAATGCAGCAAAAGCACTAGTGATGCCCATGAAAGGAGCCCTGAGTGACCCCGAGAAGGACTGTAGCCCAAATATCCACACATTATATTGTTTATTTTGCACACTTCCACTGAAGTCATCCTAGCAGGCACCCGAACAATGCCGTCACTCAGTCACAATCCTTGGTACACTTGTGCCTTAACCCTCAGGCCACAGAACCTGAGGTAAGCCGCCCAGAGACCTCTGGGTAGTGTGGGCGGCATATAAATTAAATAATTAAATAAAATAAATAAATACCCCCCCAGCTGTAAATAAAAACAACCCCTCCCAAATACTATAAAGCCATGAAGCTGGTATAAATGAATAATTAATTCAACTAGGGTTTAAAACTCAGATACATTTGTGTATTACAAAATTAAAGTATGCATTGACAGGAGGACTATCGGGCAATTATCCCACATAAACGTTCTGTTTTTATGCAATACTGAAACAGTGAATAAACTCACCTGTCTTTACTTATGAAAGAGCTATTTACACGCCAACAAATATGAGTCAGATAAGAATAAAACAAACAAGTAAGAACATTATTCACTAGCTTTGTCTCCTAGAAAGAAATGCTCAGGTGCCCAAATGCCAAACTCTTCTTAAGCCACCTTCCAAGCCAGGGACTGGAATTCTGCCTGCCCCGCCCCAGTCCTATCAACGGTTGTTTTCCATAACAAAGGACTTTAAAGAGATCACCTGATTGAATGGTTTCGTCTGAGACTGTATAGAGTGTATAATCTCGAGGCAAAGCCTGCAGTGTGTTGGGACAACTGTGATGGAAGCCTCTCTTCCACGCTTGTGGTCAGGTCCCGAGTCTCCAGATGAAGGTGGGCCGTGGCAATCTGCAACAGCCCCATCACAAGGTCTTTGTCTGCAGTGGGAAAATCAAAAACATTATCATTCTTCCTAGTTTTCATAGTGAACAACTTATTCCATATGAGCCTGCCCGTACGTACTCTTAAGAGGCCTTTCTGAAGGTGCCATCCCTGAAAGAGGTGAGGGGGGTGGCATGTCGAAATAGGGCCTTCTCGGCTGTTGCTCCCCCCAACCTTGGAACACCCTCCTATAGATATCCACCTGGCTCCAACATTTTGGGCTTTTCTGCGCCAGGCAAAGACCTTTCTGTTTAGCCAGCATTTTCATTAAATAATATCCTTTAGCTGGCCGTATGAGCAGCAGAATTTATTAATGTTAAATTGACTGTTCTAATATAGGTCATTAAAATAATATTCCCTATTTTTAGTGGTTTTATTGTTTTCTAAAGTTTTAATATTGTTGTACGCTGCTCAGAGACCATTGGTAATGATGCAACTAATTTTTTTTAAATAAATAAATAAATAAATTAACTAGCTTTAGTTCACCTTATTTCATTTATTTTGTCAGCATTTTCATATCTGCACAGAATTACCCTAACATTTATCATTCCCGTACAATGATCAGTTTGCAAGCTCGACCAAGGAATTATTCATCCCTTTCCTTTCTGGGCATACATATAGCTACAAATGCAGTGTGGGTAAATAAGGTAAAATGCACTAAATGCAATGGTTAGTTCCAACTAGATTAGACCCATTGACTTAATGGGCCTTTGCTAAATCAACCTTTGCATAAGCTCCTTTGATTCAGTAGGTCTACTGTAGCTGGGACAAATTATTGGGTTTAGCTGAATGTGCCTGGAGAGAAATAATATGCAGTATACAGACAGGTACACCCAATAGTTCAGGAATGGTTTGGCATTTGGGATTTCTTCTATTGTATTATTACATGCTTTCAGGAAATCTCAGAAGGCCCATTTGTTGTTGTTTTCAAACCCTCTTCCAAAGTTGGCTGTAATATCTTACTGAATGTGTCCTTGGTTGCTCATCTGGGATTGCAAAGTGTGCTGCTTATATATATATTGTGCTGCTTATATACAGTACCGCCCCATAGTGCTTCAAGCACTCTCTGGGCGGTTTTCAAGTTAATTATGCAGGCTACACATTGCCCCCCCCCAGCAAGCTGGATACTCATTTTACTGACCTTGGAAGGATAGAAGGCTGAGTCAACCTTGAGCCGGCTACCTGGGATTGAACCCCAGGTTGTGAGCACAGTTTTGGCTGCAGTACAGCTCCACGAGGCTGCTACAGCGATTTAACCACTGCTCCACGAGGCTGCCACATACCACAAAGAAAGGGCTCTACTTTTTACCTCTCAGCTTAGAGATGGCATTCTAATCACCCTACCTGTCATACGTTTTCTGGTGCATTGAACTCCCCTCTATCAAACTAAAAGAAGATGGCTTTGATCACAAGGTCAAGGCAGCCAAAACTTTGGGAACAAAACATGGCATGTTCGTCACCTCACTGGCTTTTCCTTACCCCTCTGGCTGGATGTGAGAAGCCACTGCTGAATAGCTGTCAAGGAGTCTGTCTGCAGGATCTGACAGAGCAGTTCCAAAATCTGTTGACAGAAGAGCACAGTGAAAATATGTCAGCTTGATCAGGGCACAGTGACCCTGAAAGTCAGGCAAACAGAGGATCAAGAGGGCATATATACAGAGATGCCAGGCTTATCTAAGTACTTCTACTGCAGTGGACTTTGTCTTAACTTGCCACTGGATGCATTTCTGATGGAATCTCCCCACACCCTACTGCAGCCCTATGTGGTCGCAGTTGGTGTCCATTGTGGTTGGTGGAGTAAAAGGCACAGTAACCTCTGGTGGATGGAGTTGGGGAGTGACAGGCAAAGCCCTAGCTGGACAATTAGTTTATCCTTTCATGTTTTATTCTCTCATTTCAACCCTGACCCCATATTCATTTATAGTGTATTTCCCTAACCTGGATTATTAAAGAAGGGTTTTTGTTTTTTTTTGTTTTTGCTTTGTTAAAGAATAGGCAGGAAAAAAACATAGACCTGAACAGGGAAGCAACTACTAAGGGACTTGCTGACTCCTGTGTTAACATGCCCACTGCACTTCAAAAAGAAAGGATTTAATGAAAATGGTGAACGTAGTAAAAAAAAGTTATTTCTCCACTCCCCAAAAAGAAAAGATCAGGAAAAGGTGTGAGACAACAGAAAGAAAGTACAACCTTTATTCATCTGAGGAGCCAAAATCTTATACATGTTTTCTTAAGAATGAATATGAAGCAGTGGGACTTACTGTTATTAGGCATAAAGTGATTTCTGTTGACAGACAGACAGACAGACAGACAGACAGACAGACAGACAGACAGACGTTAAATGAAACATGCCCACCCACTGGAGGCCATCACAGAAAAATGAAAAAAAAAAAGAGGTTTTTTGGGGGGGTTTCTCTTTTTTCAGCATCCCTTGTGAGACCCTGGGCTCAAAGCTGCAAACAGAAAGGCAGAAAATGGCCACTTCCTATGCTTGTCTCAAACGCTGGTAAACCAAAGTGGGCACTAAGATTACTGATCAACTGACTTGCATGATCAGTGATAGAATGATGTTGGCAGTAAGTCATTATAATTGCTGATACTAGGGTATGGGAAACACCACAGCAGTTTGGTTAGGGTCCAAATGAATTGGGACATTAAAATTTCTATTAACACTGAGCCTGTGTGAGACTGGGAACACTTGCAGGATCAGAAGAGCAATTACATGTCAATGCAATGAAGAGAAATCGAACTTTGCCTTTAAAGTAGTTCTGAAATACAAAGTGTGTCTGAGGGTCTGACAGCAATGGGCAAAAGCAACTGAGGTTCATTTCTCTGTAGGTTTTTCTTTGTATGTATGTGTGTGTGTTTTGCCCCCATTGCCAGAATAAATTATTGTATTTTTCTGTGTACAGTGGACCCTCGACTTACAGACGGCTCCACTTACAGACTTTTCGAGTTACAGACTTCTCTGGCCGCAGCCAGAGAATCGACTATGGACCAGAAAAAAAACCAAAATGGAAAACGGTCGGTTACGAATTAATCGGTTTTCAATGCAGTGTAGGTCAATGGAGCCTTGACCTACAGACTTTTCGACCTGCAGCCACCATTCCAATATGGACTAATTCCATAAGTTGAGGGTCCACTGTATAAAACCCCCCCATGTATAAGATCCCACCACTTTTCTAACCCAAAATTACTAAGAAATCAATATTTTAAACATAAAACAGAACACATTTTTATTTAGTAATTAGGCAACATTTACATACCTGTACTGTCATATTATGTATCACACTTTAACTTTATTCACCCTCTGAGATCAGAATGCTCGGACGTTAGGAGTCCCTGTTGCATCTGAGCCCTGTTGCAATTGGTTTGTTCAGCATCAGCTGACATCAGTTACATAAGGCTCATGATTGGAGGAAGCTAAGCCTCATGATTGGAGGCAGCTGAGCCTCGGGACTGAAGGAAGCCTGTTTGCAGAGGCAAGGTATGGGCCATTTTGTTCTCTCCTTGGCTTACTTCTGTGTACAGTATAAGACGACCCTCAAATTTTAGTCTAACGATTTTAGGAAAAAGTAGCATCTTATACATGGAAACATATGGTAGCTCAGTTTGGGTAAGGTAAAAGGCTCTATAGGCTGCTCTGCCTGAGGCAACAAAACCCCTTGGGCCAGCCTCAGAGGCATTCACTTCAGCTGCTAAGGGCTAGAAGCAAGGTGTGTGCTCTCCACCCCTAACCTAGTCTGTTGCCTTCAAGTGTTGCAGAAGATGGTGCACCATTATCAGGAGGCTGCCTTCTAATGAGTCAGACCATTGGTCCATCCAACCCAGTATTAGCAGCTCTGACCTACTGTCTCAGAGTGCAACTACAGTGACAAATAATGTGGAAAACGCTCCAGGATTGGGACTGTGTGATTCACATTTTTCTCTATAGATCACATAATGAAAAAGTCAATGTGAATCGGTCTGGGGGTTTTCTGCTCTAATCCATAGTTTCTTCCTCCACTGCTTCAACTTCTACTCTTTTTTTGGGGGGGGGAAAGAGGAATAGAATCTATTTGTATTGGTTCAGGTTGTATGATTGTTTGTAGCTGTTGTATTTGAAGCTATTCCACCTGAGAGAGGTGAGGCAGGAAAACTGGCTGCCATTTAAATCCTCTTCTCACACCTGCTGTCCACATCTGCTTTCATTTTCCCTTCCCTTTTTTTTTCTTTTAAAGTCTTGATAATATAGTTCTAGGGGAGTTGGCCAATCAAAGCGTTAAAAAAAGTGAGGACTCAGTAGAAAGGAGAAAATTTTAAGGTAGCTCTGCTCTAGCATTGCCTTCTGGAAATGTGGATGGAGACAGCAGAGCTACCTTAAAACTTCCTTCGTAACAAGCTGGAAACACGGCTGAAGTGAAAACTTCCTCCAATCTCTCTCCGTTGATTCCTTCCTTCTCTCTCTCTCTCTCCTAAGCTGCCCTAGCACTTGGATAACAAGCTTTTAAAAGAAAAGAGAGAGAGAAACAGAACAAGAAAGCAAGAGGGAACAGGCAGACCTGGGTACCAAGTGTAGGGAGGAGGGAATTCAAATGGTTAACAATCTGTAAACAAGGCTATGGTAATTTTCTCCCCTCTCTCTGCTGACTCCTCCTTTTCCTGGCTATGAAATACAGCCTAACTTAAAAACTAGTATGTTGCTAGCATAAAGACAATAAGAACTGCCTGAATTCTTTGCTTACTATCAGTTCTTGGTCTTGGAAGAATGTGGTAACACCTTTGCCATTGTTCTTGGCGTTGTTCTTATGCAGGCGGCGGGAGGAATGGCGAGTTGTGGCTCGGGAGGGAGGTGGAACAAGATGCCCTGTTTCTTCCGAATATTTTGTCTCCCTCCCAGACGTCTCTGTCTTTAAAAACAACAAGTCACAGTGGAATTAGGGGAACCAGAAATTGTACTGAGAGTGACAAGTGAGATATAAGTGTAGAGTGTGGGTTGCCCGCAAAGTTTTGTTGACAAAAGATGGTGAATATGACATTGGAAAATAAGCAGGCATATGAACCCGTTGATATGGTGGATTACATTATTTGGTCCTTTAATAGTGGCTGCTGTGTAGCTCCAGAGACAAAGTTGGCATATGGGTTTGTTACATGGTCTAGTTCCTATGTCAATGCTTCTATTCTAAAGTCTGTTGGTGCAATCTCATCTGGTTGGGCAGCTGTCTGAATGCAAGCATGCATCTCCCCTCCAGAGAGCCAGCATGGAATGTTTTGATCCAGGATTCCAGATGCACCATTCAAGCTTTCCTCAGTGACATCTTCTAGATCTGGTGGACTACAACCACATCTTGGAGAAGTCAAGTCTTTTTGGATTAAAGAATTCTCAGACACCATAGGTTTCTGAGTGTCATTGCCTGGAAAAATAGGTTTTTCATGTTTTAACTACAACTTCCACCAAGGGATATGTTAGTTGGGGATGGTGTAATCCAGCATACCAATCTAAATACATGTTAAAATTAGGAAAGCTGGTCCATTCCCCCACCACCACCTTTGTTTTTTGTTTCCACATCATAACAGTAATAATTCAATGCTAGCCAAGCATGCACAATCCTTATATTGATTCTAGGAGTTCCTCTTATTAGGGTCCCCCCCCATGCCATTCTTTTTTCTTTTTCTTTTCACTTCAGATTTTGAGGTTCCCCTGGCAGCCTACCGATGCCTTTCTTTGTAACTGCATGGCACCATTTTGAGTACTTCAAGGCTGGTAGCCAGAGAATTACAATTACTCTTAGTACAGAAGATGCTATTGTGATGCCACGTGGATGGAAACTTTGAGTTGAACAAACACCTAGGACCCCACAGTTGACTATAAGGAGACACGCCTTTCTCAATAATCTGGGATGCATGCTTCTGTTTGAAATAAATTTCTGTACTGTTCCAAATGGACACACAATAAATGATCAGAGGGTGCAAAATGATTTTGGTCTACAGTTTGTAGAATCCTTTGTGGTCATCCTTGCTGGGCCATTTTTGGAAGCTGCAGTTCAAAATAACTCTTCCAAGCTTATAAAATGGTCTTCTCTTCCCAAAGGAGCTTGCTATTATGATAGAATGATTTCTGCTTTACCTATAGCTGAGGTTTGTGGGCCATCTACTGGTGACGTAACAGCAGAGACTAAGGGGAATCACTGAGCTGAGGTTTTAAACTAAGGAAAGATAGCCTCTGATTATATATATTCCCCTTAGTCTCTAATGTTACGTCACCAGTAGATGGCCCACAAACCTCAGCTATAGGTAAAGCAGAAATCATTCTATCATAATAGCAAGCTCCTTTGGGAAGAGAAGACCATTTTATAAGCTTGGGAGAGTTATATATACAAAGATTTAACTGAGAATAATTTCTGCTACAATAAAATATCAGTTGGAGCCTTCATTTAAACAACTAGTCAGCTAATAAGTAGACATTTTTGCCCGTATGCAGAACCCTTACCTCTTGAATTGGACCATGCTTAGTCTCAAATTTCATAGCAATAAGCGGAATCAAAGCAAAGTGTGCTGCTTATACACCATCCCATAGCATTTAAAGAACTCTGTGGATGACTCACAATTTAGTTCTGCAGACTACACTTTACATCCATCCCCAGAGAGCTGGGTACTCAATTTACTAACCTTGGAAAGGTGGAAGGCTGAGTCAGCCTCAAGCTGGCTACCTGGTCTAATGCAGGTCATGAGCAGAGTCTTGACTGCAGCACTGCAGTTGAACCACTGCACCGGGAGACATATATCTCGAGGCTCCTTAGACCTTGCCATGTCAGTCTCTACCTATACGTGCCAAGCTTACTGAACCACCACCTGGTTTCAGTGCAAGAGAACTGTCCACAACAGTTGGCAGTGTCTTAGAGTATAGAACTAGAAAGTCTGGACTCACATTCTCATACAGCCATGACATTCATGGGGTGACCTTGGTAGGCACCCGTACTCTCAGCCTGACCTAATTCATAGAGTTTTTGCAAGGACAAAACTGGGAGGAGAGCCTGGAGTATACTGGGAAGAAAGGCAGGGTATCAGCTAAGAGCAACAGTTCTACACTGGGCTGCGGCCATTATGTGTATGTTGTACACCCAGCTGCTCATGTTGTGTATTTAAAAAAAAAATCAAATGACTTATTCCAGTGCATACAAAGCAATACGTTAGGATCTCCTGACATAATCTACAACAAAAATAAGTTCCAGTTCTCAGGGCCAGTTATCCCTTGCAGCACTATCACTGTTCCTGGTACTGGATCCATCACATTCCTTAGCAAAACAGTCCCCTGACCCACAGTCACAATGGGCCCCATTCTCTACTCACTGTCTCCTTTTTCTCCACCTCAATAGAAGAGGCAGCTCTCACTCGAGCGGCCAGTTCCTTCAGTTCTTCTCGCCAGGCATCTGACAAAGAACCTATGTGTGGAAGAGGGGAAAGAGAGGATGAAAGTAAAATTGATCTACCCAAAGTTTGACCCATTCAGTGGAGGATTACAATTGGTAAGTCAACCCTTGCCTCTACAGACCAGAGGCAGCCTAAGGCATTATACAGCCTGAGGCAGAGCAGCAAATTCAGCTCGTCTTCCCCTTTATTCAAGGTCCGTAGTACCAAAACCAACTAGGATGTGTGGCAGAAATCCCACAAATCCACCATCCCTGTTAGGGAAAACAGGAAAGTGAACAGTTAACAATTCATGGCTCTTTCATGATAATCCAAATTTGCTGTTCAATCATGAAATGCACTGACATTAAAAATAGGCAGAGAAGAGGTTTGTGTGATATATCAGTCATTGGAATGCCCTGTTTCACACCGTAGATGTATGAAGACACATTCCCCATCTCTAATTCTGAATAGGGCACTTTAGGACACCATGATCTGTCTTTCTATGTTCTAATTTGGTTTCCCTTTTCTTCTTGGTATGGTGGTGCCCCTGAGAAAGTTCACAAATACAGTACTACCAGCACAGGCCCACAAAAGTATTGGGTTGGATTGTCTCCAAAAGGGCAGAGTGGTGAGACACCAATCTGTGTCTCCTTCCTTAGGTGTGGACCAGGGCAGGGGCCGGTGAGGGGGGGGAAGGGCAGTGCCTATACCTAGTAATCATTGTCGAACCTTTGGCCATAATTTCATAGCAGAATTAGAAATAGCCCAAAGCTAAAACACACTCTGCTGACTTCTTCTGAATAAAAGATGTATTGCCTAGCAGTCACTCTTCCTCTGATTTATCCAAGATACTGTTGATTACAGTGCTCTTGGGAGGACTATGTATCTTGTTGATACTTCATCTTACAGTCTATGACTTAAATTACATGGACTTTTCTGGTTAACAAGGATTAAAAAGTGGCACTTGGATGAAGCTATGTTGTTCTTTCTGAGACAGGACCTTGGTATGTAAGACTCCAATCAGGGGTCGGATCCAGAACTAAGTTTCCTTCTTTCCGGAACAAAGTGATTAAAATCCTCCAGCCAGAATGGCTACAGAGTCATAGTTCAAATAAATATACTAACATTAACATTTCCAAGTTCTGAAACCTGTTTCCTCTGTCTACCAAGATGGGTCAAAGTATTTTGAGAGATCATGTTCACATCTTGGTTCCAACTGGGAGAAAAAAGCTTCATCCTTCTGAGACTTGTATTGGTACTGGATCGGAAATAACTTTGGGTCTGTTACTTTTTTTATGACTCCTGGAAAACATGGAGAGATTCCTGCATAAGAACTACACACTATAGGCAGAGATCAGTGTTACTGGCTGACACTGTTCATGGCTGTATGAAATGGGTGCTATTGGCACTCAGGATGACTAAGGGTGTGGTCAGAGATGGTGCTTTGTCTTACGGTTTGGTCCACTTTGGGAATGGGCTGTTTTGCTCCACCTTCTAGTGACTACAGACAAATATGAACCGTTACAACTCTTATCCATTCCTAAGTGCAGTTTTTTTGGTTCCCTTGCAGGGGCTACTGGGTTTTGTTTTGTTTTTAATGCTGGTAGGATCGCTCCATTTTTGTTCAGTTCCAGCATGTGTGATTGCCAGCATAAAAAGAAAATGGATCACTTACTTGTTACTGCACTTGCTTCAGGATCTAACCTTCATGCAGGTGGAAATGATGACAGTTATTATCAAATTTAAACCTTCCTCCTGCTCTCTCCATGGAAGGAAGGGAAGAAGAGGATGTCGGGTTCTTTAAAAATGAGCTAGTTGAGTGTCAAGCCAATTCAGTGCTGTGCCACTTAATTTTTTTAAAAAAATGCAGATTTCTTCTACTCCCACATAGAGGGGGATTTTATTTATTTATTTATTACATTTATAGCCCGCCCATCTAGTCATACAGACTACTCTGGGCAGGTAACAGCATATCATATAACAAATTACAGTTTAAAATCATAACAATATATTACTAAAAAACACAATGATCCACAATGACCATTTAAGGGAAGGAAGAAAGGGGCATGGAGGGGGATATTTTTTACCTCCCCCCCCTTTAAGGAGAGGATAGGCTAAATAGGGTTGCTTCAGATGAGGTGTGTTTTCCTATCCCCAAATGGCCTCAAAGCCTGGAACAATTTGGCTGTCCAGTTGCAACGTAACACTGAAAAAACCAAATACAGTAAATATAATCATTAAAAATTAAAACAGATTGAAAACACAATTAAAACTTCCTAAGGGACAAAAGGGAAGTGGGAGGGCACATCCACTTTTTACTGCAAGCCAGCCCTAAGCAGATCATCCTGATAAGCAACCTTGTGACTTACAAAGAGCTGAGAAGACTTATTAATTAGTATAGGTTGCACTACTAACCTACTGAAAGTCTGGGTACTGGAAAAGGCGGTGGATCTCCAATGGGCACTTGAACCCCAGGAACCCGCAAAACAGAAGAACGAAATGGGCTTTTTATCATTGAATGAGAGGGAACAACATTCTGCTCAGACCACTCATCATTAACTGTGCAAACGGGAGCACCATTCAGACCTGCAATAGAAAGAGATATTTACATAACAGATATGAACAAAAAAAATATAGATCCTACTTTCCAGTTTCTTTCCTGGTGCTGCTGCTGTTTTATTCTGATTTGCTCCAGTGCAGGATCTGCTTGTGTGAACCCCAGTTGATGCACGCTGATCTGTGTACTTTATGTATATGTGTCATTTGATGACATTTACTTACGCACATTTTTCTACTGGTCTGTTTCCACCTCCATGCCTTCTTGTTTAGTTGTTGCAGTCTTCTGCATTTTATTTATTTTTTTACATGTTATTACATGTTTTATTATTATTTTACAGGTTATTTTTTTCACCATAGTGCACAAGGGAAAATTAAAAATAAAGACAAAGGTGAAGATTTGGCATGGATAAGTGAGTACAACAAGGAATGAAGAGAGGAAATAATGGTGGGGAGAGCAGAGAAAACCTATAAGTTCTTCTGGTATTTTTGGTGGGTTTTAGAAAATGCTGTCAACATGGACTGAAGCGATAATCTCTCTCATCCACAAGGAAAATATGGAGGGTAAAGAAATTCAAAATTATAGACTGATTTCATTGTTGAATGGGGATTATAAAATACATGTGACCATCCTGGCAACCAGAATGAAAAGAATTTTAATTCAGTTAATACATCAAGATCGGTCTGGGTTTCTTCCAAAAAGGCAGATGAAAAATAATGTAAGGATAGTTCTAAACTCCCTGGAATATTATGAAGCACACCCAGAGAAACAGATGGCCATGATATTCTTGGATGCGGAGAAAGCCTTCGATAATCTCGATTGGAATTTTATGTTATATTTGCTGGAAACACTACAAGTTAGAGAAAGATTTTTGAAGCTAATTAAAGCAATATACACTCAACAAAAGGCAAAGTGAGAATTAATGGCGAGCTGTCAAAAGAAATACAAATACAGAAAGGTACCAGACAGGGGTGTCCACTCTCTCCACTACTATTTATTTTGACTCTAGAAATATCAACCGAACAAATCAGAGATAAAAAGGAACTGAAAGGATTGAAAGTAAAAGGCCAAATCTATAAACTTCAGGCTTTTGCAGACGACTTAGTCATTATACTGGAAGATCCAGTGCATTCAATAGAAGACCTGATGGCAACGCTGAAAAACTTTGGTGATATGGCAGGAATGAGAATAAACCAAAAAGAAACAAAACTACTTATTAAAAATATAAGAGAACAAGAACGGCAGAAGTTAGTAAATAAGACAAACTTCCAAGAGGAAAAGAGAATTCGATATTTAGGGATCCAAATTACAAAGAAGACGAGTACACTATTTAAAGATAATTATATGAAGGAGATACAGAACAATTTGGCACATTTGAAGGGGGCCACAGACTGGAAACAATTCTTCACACATCACCTTATAAGGTTCATTATGTGACTTATACAATCCTGATTCAGCCTGTATTTCTTTCACACTGTGTTTATGGCTGTGACCGAAAAAAGTTTAAGAATGACTGCTATAGAATACCATGTGCTATCCAGGATTAAGTTCTCAGAGAACTTAAATATATAAAGCCTCAGAGGCCTGTCATTAAGGTCTTCATGTTACATAGTTTGAATACCATGTCAGAGACATATTATTTATCATTGTAAAATAACATATTCCACACTTCATTTTGTTTTTTAAATTTCTGGAAAAAATATGCTTCAAAAAAACCTGTTTTTGCCCCAATTTTCTGGGGGGTTTTCCCCAACGCCTTCAAATCTCTAGCCATCCCATTTGGTGGGTACTCAACTAGTTAACTAATAAAGAGGCAGATCAGCTGTATTTTGACTGTACGGTAGCGGTCTGTTTACATGTATTTCAATGACCTACTGCACCTCCATTTCACGATCTAGTTCATTGTTATATCAGTGCGTGTTGCTATTGTAGTTCACTCCCTAATAGAGTCTTAACTTGTTTGATCGGATGGGCTTTCACTGTTCTGCAAGTTATGATCCCAGATTTCTGGGAGAGAAGAGGCAACTTTAGGAAAACAGCTCTTCAGTCTGGAGCTATTACCCTCTGAATTGTTCCATGGCAATATCTCAGAGGCTCACAAATATTCCGTTACAACCTACACCTATGAACAGCAATGCTGGGGTGCAAATTTGTGCAAAAAGTCATGATTCTTTTCACTCTTCCTTTATTAGTTGCTTTTTGATTTACATAAAGTCAAGTAGTGATAATTACATGTGAGATATTCCATGGCTGGACATTCCCCCCCGCTCCTTTCCTTAACAAACAAATTTAAAAAAAGGAGAGAGAGAAGTATGCATGTGTTTTCCTGTCTTCCAGCTAAGGGCTTGTCTACACGTTGCACAAATCTAAACTGAGTTGCTAGGAGGTCTGATATGACCTTTGGAATGATCCTCACACCCAAATGGCATGTATACTTCAAGTAACCCTGTTTGGTCTGCAGCAGCCTGCTGTCAATTTTCCAATATTGTGAAGTGGCTTAAGAAGAAACCTACATCAGGATATTGGCAAATTAATCCCTTCCTCAGCTCAATGGAAAGGCCAAGAAAGTGAACAACATGTTTTAAAGTGTATATAAGGGCTATTTTGACATCAGGCAAATTGACAGCAGGCCCTGCTGTGCTGTCCTAATACCTATTTGTGTTCCATAATTCTTTTAGGTCTTTAAAGTAATGCAGCGAATATTTGCTGCCTTTATACAAACTTCAAAAAACCTCTTTTTTCCCACTCCTACGACCCCTTTGCAGAGCCAAGGAAGTGGTTTAATCTGCCAGTATCCTGGTGTGGTTCTCTTCCTAAGCTGTTTCACGATATTGGCAGATTAGAGGAAGGATCGCTTTTGCTCCAGGGATCACAAACACTGGAAATAGACGAAACCGGCATGATCCCACCCACAGCAAAAAAGTAGAAACCCCTGACAGGAGCTAGAAAGGTATGGGTAGGAACACTCTGCGGATAATTTGGTTCACTCCAGTGATTGAGTCGTGTGATTGCAGTCAAAAAAAGCAAACCAACTCATCCTTATACTGGTCCAAACAGCAGGCTAAATGCCCGCCTGATTGTACCCTGAGTTAAGACATTTGCTTGCCAGAGACAAAGCAGCAAATGGTGTCAGCAAGACAGCCTGCATACTATTGAAATCTGGCCAAATTCTATTGGCATCTGAGAGAGAAAAATCTTAGAAGAGTACCTCCCTGGAAGTAAACGTACAATAACCATCAAATAATTTGCAATTTTCTGCACTTTTATGGCTCTCTAAAGCAACTGGCTCATTCTGTCAGATGGTAGGGCTGACCCTATGATCATCATAAGCATGTTTTCTCAGACTGAGTATCACTATATTCAGTGGCTTAAGTCCAACAGCCCGTCTCAACTGGAGCCAATTACTGAATAGTGAGGAAACATTTATGTAAATCTCAGTGGGTCTAGCAGTGAGAAACAGGCCAGGGAGTGTTACTCCCAGGTAAATGTGCATAGTTCAACTTTAAGGGCTTACCTTGGATATGAGTCACTCGTTGAGGGTGGGGGTTGTGGCGTGAGAAGAAAGAATGATGGCTGAGGCTGCCAAACCGAGCAGCACTCTTTGAATGAGGTCTTAAGGCCTGAATGCTGAACTGGAGTGGGGTGTTCAGAGCCATCTGTTTAAGCTTCCCAGCTAATGCTGTGATATCTTTGCCTTTAAAGGGAGCAGTCCCTGTGCTTTTCATCTTCTCCATTTCCCCTTCAGTACACGTCCTTGGTTCTAGATTGTAAAAAAAAACACCAATATATATATATTTAAAATAAAAAAATATTTTTTAAAAAACAACAATAACAATAACAATAACAATAAACAACAACAACAACAACAACAACAATAGCAATTAGTTACATTTCATTCATACCTTTCCTCCACCGAGCACAGAGTGCTGTCCTCCTACCATGGGACAGGTAAAGCTGGAGTGGGGGGAGTAGCAATTTCAGTGGCTTAAACCTGCATTTCCCACACTGGAGGCAAATACTGTAACCGCTACACTATATCCAGATGGCAAAATGTTAACCTAAATCAAGTAAGCTACTTCTACTCAGAGGGGACCCATTAAATCAATTGTTGAATTGTGAGTGAACACTTATGTAAACCTCACTGATTCAGTGTGTCTACTTGAATTTACAAGAACAAATTTACCCCTTGGAATACTACCAATGCTTGAAATACATATACAGTACCCTATTCCCCTCTCCCAAAAAGGCAAAATCCTGGTCCATCAGTTAGTTAGGGTGTCCTTTGTTTGTTTCCATTAAACCCAATGAGCTTGAAAAGAGCTTGAATTTCCTCTGTAGTTATTTCTAATTATTTTGTGCCATTTTCTATATTCCAGAAGACCCAACGAGGCTGATAGATACTGTTGCTTTTAGGTCTTCCCCCCCCCTTGCAAAGAAGAGAACAATCTTGAACTTACCTGAAAGGCTGCTATGAAGTGAAACACTGTTTCCAAAAAAGTATGGCACAAGCAATTTCATGTAGGTCTGTTCTAATGGTTTTATATCATAGGGGTTTGCAGTGCATAAATAAGGAAATTTTGACATATAAACCACAGAATTGTTGATAAAGGTTAACTCAAAACCAAGAGTTGGCTATTTAAGAACTTTCTCCTGGGCCCTTCTTGACAGGTGAGTAGGCGTCTTGGCGAGACCACTTAGGTCATATTCTGGTGATTCATGAAATATTTTCTCTCAGAGACTTGTTTGCTTAATTGTTCCTCAGGAAGAACACTGCACTGTCAGCGTAAATAACAGAGATATTATTATGAGAGCGTATCGAAGCATCATTTCTGAGCATCATTTGTTCCATGCTTACCTCTAATGTTTAATGTGAACATTACCATTTACGTAGGCAATGTTCAAAACGAAGCTTGTATTTCAGAAGCATTGCATGAAGAATAAGCTATGTCATTTGGAATGCAGAGCGTAGCTTAACTTGAAGGTCAATGTTGTTCCCCTGTATGTGTAGCAACGTGTACTGTGAGAAAGTCAGCAAATAGATACATTAGGGTGATTTGGTTTAAAATTTTGTTTGCTGAACAAAGCCAGCATGCTGTCACTGGAGAAGGTGAGTGTTGGGACTTCTCATGGCTCAGGATAGGGAAGGAAGAATGGTAACATATCTATCTATCTATCTATCTATCTATCTATCTATCTATCTATCTATCTATCTATCTATCTATCTATCTATCTATCTATCTATCTATCTATCTATCTATCTATCTATCTATCTATTTGGCTTTTATACTGCCCATCTAGATAAATCTACTCTAGGCAGTTTACAATCCAAAAAAGCAATAAAATTAAAGACATCAATAAAACAAGCAAACATAATCCAAGATGAAAAAGCCAGGGGAAGAAATTAAGTAATGTCAGGAGGGAAGGCCTGCCTGAAGAGTCAGGTCTTCAGTTTATTCTTAAAAACTCCCAGCGAGGGAGCCAGGCAGATCTCAGGGGGGAGAATGTTCCAAAGGTGAAGGGCCACTGCCGAGAAGGCCTGGTTTCTAGTTTTTTCCTTCTGGACCTCTCTTGGAGTAAAGTGCCTCAGCCACTCAGCCTGGCTAGAATGAGTGACACAGGTAGAACTACCTAGAAGAAGGCGCTCTGACAGGTATCAAGGTCCTAAACCGTTTAGGGCTTTATATGTAATCATTAGCACCTTGAAATCGATGCAGAATCTAATGGGTAACCAGTGTAAGGCAGCCCAAGTGGAGGAAATATGATGGTATTTTTTCACACCAGTTAGTAATCTGGCCGCCGTGTTCTGGACCATTTGAAGTTTCTGCATCAATCTCAAGGGAAGCCCCACATAGAGTGCACTACAGTAGTCTAATCTTGAGACTACAAGCACATGGACAAGTGTGGTGAGTGCCTCTACATCAATATAGGAGCGCAGCTGGGGAATCTGCCAAAGATGTTAATAGGTGGTGTGGACCACAGATGTAACCTGGGATTCCATGGCAAGCGCCAGGTCAAGATGGATCCCTAAGCTGCGGACCACGCTGTTTGTGGTGCGAGTCGCTCCCCCAAAATAGAGGGAGCTTCCCAAACCACTGATGACAGGGGCACCCACCCTTAGGACCTCCATCTTATCCAGGTTCGGCCTTAGTCTGTTCTCCTGCATCCATTGCAGAACCGACCCCAGGCAGCGCTCAAGATACATAACGGCATCCACTGCTGATGGAAAAAAAAGGAGATGTCATCACGAGGCACCACATCCCTGGATGACACCCCCCAGTGGCCTCATGTAGATATTAAATAGCATTGGAGAGATAATTGAACCCTGTGGGACCCCACAGTTGAGGAGCCATGGGACTGATACATTCTCCCCAAGCTGAACTCTCTGAGAAGGGTCCTCCAAGAAGGACCAAAGCCAGGCAAGAGCCAGACCACTGATCCCCAACTCAGAAAGCCTCCCCAGGAGGATACTGTGGTCAACGTTATCAAAGGCAGCTGAGATGTCAAGGAGAACCAACAAAGACATTTTGCCCGATTGGCTTCCCTCAGTAGGTCATCCAGCAAGGTGACCAATGCCGTTTCCATACTGTGGCACAGCCTGAAGCCCGACTGGAACAGATCCAGAGTGTTGGTTTCATCCAGAAGGGCCTGAAGCTGGTCGGCCACCACCCTCTCTACTACCTTGCTAAGGAAAGAAACATTGGCGACAGGCCTATAATTGCCAATGTTGTCCACCAAACAAGCTTGTTTTTTTTCCTAATGGGCCTAATGAGTGTCTCCTTGAGGGCAAGGGGAACCTTGCCCCCCTGGAGAGATCCATTAATTTCAGTGGCCCATTCGGTTGTCACAGGCCTGGCTGCTTTGATTAGCCGGGCCGGGCAAGGGTCAAGGGAAATGGCAGTGGCACGACAGTGATCAAGAACTTTGTCCACCTCTACTGATGTCACCAGCTGAATCTGAGTAATTCTCATTGGACAAGACGGTGCGCTGGATGTCTCGGCTCGATCTACTGTTTTCAAATAGGGGGTTAGGTCCCGACGGATGGCCTCCAGTTTATATTTAAAGAATGCTGCAAATTGGTTGGGTGAGATAGTAAGGGGAGGCCAATCATTATGACCAATTCCAGATAGATCATGTAATATACGGAAGAGTTCCGCCTGCTGATTGGAAGCTTCGCTTATCCGGACAGCAAAGTAAGCTTTCCTTGCAGCCTTCACCTCAGCAAGGTAAAAGTTAGATGTGATCCTGGCAGCTTTTAGATTATTTGCCTCCAAATGCTCTCCAGCCTTCTCCTGTTCCACTTCATAGCTTGCAACTGTTGCTCAAACCAAGGCACTGGTCGAGTTCTGTGTTGGAGTGGGCATTTAGGAGCAATCGTGTCAACAGCCCTGGTGGCGGCAGTGAACCAGCCATCAACTAGAGCCTTGACAGGAGCGCCAGCCAGATTAATTGGAATCCCTTGCATGGAATTCTGGAATCCTATAGGATCCAGTAGCCTACAAGGGCGGACCATTAAAATAGGTCCCTGCTCCCCATGGGGAGTGAGAGCCATTGTGAGGTTGGCTTTTATTAGGTGGTGGTCCGACCATGTCAAGGGGACTGACACAAGGTTAGTCACCATCGGGCCACACTCACGCTGCTCAGTGGAGAATACCAGGTCTAGCATGTGACCGCCCATATGGGTGGGGCCGTTAACATGTTGGGACATGTCCAAGGAAGCCATGGTTTCCAAGAACTTGATCTAGTTCCATAAGAATACAGGATTTATCAGGACTCCAATTCTAATGAAAAAGTGCCTTGCTTCACTCTTGTGGGGAAGATGCATTGCAGTGGCCAAAACACAACTGGAGAAAGAAAGTGGCTCCTGGAAGATGGAGTTGTTGGTTTGGGTTGAGCTTTGGCATGAAAGTCAGTGTGCACAGTGGAGAAAAGATAAGACTCTCATATCTCCACCATTTGTCTTCCCCCTTTTGAGCCACTTGCTGAGATGTGCTGGGGAGTTAGGAGCTGTACACAGGCTGGCCAGTAGGTGGCCAGTGTATAGCAAAAGTCCAACTTGTAGACAAAGTCTGGAATATGTCAGATTTCAGCATGATGAAATATACTGCCAAGGTGTAATAGCATGACAGCCTAGGAAGAGCCACAACACCAAATGTTTCTCCTCAGTACAGTACAGTATTTAAAAATGCAGCTTGGTTTTGGGACCTTGTGGAAAATACTGTCATGGGAGAAAAAACAAGTTAAAAGGAACATAATCTGGATGTCACAGATATTTCAATTAAGATCAGTACATAACATGATCTTTAAGGTGGATCAAATCCTGTGTCTGGAAGAGCCCTGAGATGGTTTCTTTAAGGGGAGAACTATACCGTTTTCTTTGTTATGTTCCTAGGCTGTTGTCACATACATATGAGAAGTAGGACTTGAATCTGTTAAAACCATGGACTGAGATCCTATGCTTCTGAGAAAATTTTCTGATTTTTGTATCAGTAAAAAATGAGAGCCTTTCTTACTTATTTCAGCTTATATTGCAGTAGCACTACAAATACAAGACAGAAGATTAATATTCCACAACTCTTTAATGTACTATCTCAATGTATCTGTCCTGTCAGAAACTTTCAGTAGCAGCTGCTTGTAGAAATCAAAGGGATGTCTCCCTCTATTTTAGAAAAAAAATGCAAGAAAAGAATGGCACAACATGTCAGATTATCTGTATAGCATTCTGAACATTTTCTCAAATCTCAAAATAATAAATGGAAAAGTATAATTATAATCAGTCAACATAACCAAAAATGGGAATAAAATACATGCTTAAATGCTACCAGTCAATTGCTAGAACTATTCTAATATTTATTTAACTATTGATTGTGTGTAATTAGGTGCTGTTCAGTAAAGGTGGACAGAACAGGTCCACTGATAGGATTCCGTATAATTAGCAGTGGATTTGTGACTCCTGACTGTTTTTAGAAACCGATTCTCACCAGCCCTATACATTAGCCTTTGGTCCCACACATATATATTTAGTGAGGACGCAAGAGAGGGCCTCCCCAGTGGCTGCTCTCCGACTTTGGAAAGCGCTGCCCCAAGAAGCCAGGCTGGGCCTCTTGTCTTTCCGATAACAGGCAAAGACTTTCCTTTTCAGGCAGGTTTTTAAGGCCATTAAGTGTCTCACAAATCCTATGTTTATTAAACTTAGAGATGTTTAAATGGTTGTAAACCATTTCAAGAGCAAACTTAAGACCTGGCTCTTTAGGCAGGCCTTCCCTCCTGTCATCACTTGAATATTTTTCCC